TCTCCGGTCGTGTCGGTTTACCGTCCCATTGTATTATGAAAGTGAAGAAATAGAGAGTGCACCTGTGCTTGTGCATACAATTGGGCACTATAATCCTATCTTGCGCCGCTGGCTAGCCTCCGTTGAGGCAGGCCGCCGTGGCCGAAATTCGGTCTGGAGGACATTATATTACTAAGTTATTATTAATTTACATAATAATATATAATTAAAAATAATTAACGAAAATAATGAGATCATAAAACTACTAGTTTTTTCAAACTTGGTACATCTGCTGTTGATGTTTCGGTTTGATAAAAACCCCATACAAATTGTTTAGATTCCGATGTTATATTAAAGGTTCTTGGTCGTCTTAGTTACATAGAATATTGTCGTCGCCAGGATCAGAATTCTGAATCACATCTGCATATAACGCCCGGGCATTAAGGTCATCAGAAATGTCACAAAATTTAAGTAGATTTTCGACGTCTGCTTTCTTGAAATGGGATCATATTAGTTTTACGTAACTGGTTGCAATAATATCACGAGAAAGATTTGACTCCCTTCTTTATTATTTCAGTAGTCACTGATGCAGCAGAATACCCACTTCAACATTTTTTGAAGCTCGGGATCCGACTACAGTAAAGTGAATTATCCGTGTTTGGAATATATTAAATGGCAGTTTTGCTTTTATCATTCGTTTGGCCGTGGCATTTATGTCATAAGTATAACAATCTTTACCCCATTCGTTGACTTGTCCATGTTTTCCTAAAATTTAATTGTATTCTTTTGGCGACAAAATAAATTCACGTCGACAGTAGTCTTTTTCTACCCTTCCAAATACTCAATCAGTAGGCATGAGATATGGCCGATGGTAAAAATGTGGCTCAGTGTGTTAAGAACCTTGCTAGAGCAAGCACGATAAAGTTTTTATTCTGACTGTTGCAAAAATCGGAATACAGTTCAAGCTTCAAATCTTTTATTTTCTCTTAGCCATATTTATTCTAAGTTTCTCAAATAATGTTTTCTGGTGGTAGAGCCACGCTTCTGTTTGGTAAGGGAAGCACTTAAGTTTTTATTCACTTTGCATTTTTTTTAATATTTCTAAGTTTCTCAAATAATGTTTTCTACGTGGTGGAGCCACGCTTCTGCTATATGATTGTACGAGTAGCACCGATGGGTCGGCTCGACCGGGGAAGGACCACGCTCTCACAGAATACCAGCGTAAAATAGAAGCTTAATGGTGCTGTGTTTCATGAGTGTACAGAAACGGAGACCTGTTTTACTGGAACCGAATAAGTATATAATACCGAATAAGTAATAAGTGCATATCAATATGTAAGTTAATAGGTTCGTAAGTACTGTAAAAATAGATCACTCACGCATACACTATGCTCGTGTTCCTTACATGAACTGTAACTGAAATATGTTACAACGAAAAATACTAATAAAATATTGATTACATTTCTGGTCATTAAAACTCAGTTTAACAGCCTGCCGCAATGATCTTTTCTTAAAACAAAATTGGACCATGTTTTTCTTCTTGTGTCTACTTTTTTCCCCAACAACTTCAACCATTGGTAGGTCATATTCTCCATTATCCATGGTTATTTATAAAATTTGAACCCAAAAAAAAATTGCTTCCTTCTTCGTTGACTTACCCAATAATACTGATTTATAATGTGATGCAATAATAATCACGTAATTTTCCATAAAAGGATAGCAATAAAAAAATCAAATCTAGTGCATTTGATGTATTGTTTAAGAAATTTGTTCGTCGTTGATGTATCACTTTGAAAAAACTAAGAAACTTTACAGTACTATTTGCATGGTTTATGTATCGCTTACAGAAAATTCATTAATAGTATCATGTGAAGATTTCATTAGATTTACATTAAAAAATAATATTTGCTTTTTTGTTTGTTGTATTGCTTTGTAAAAAACGCTCCTCAATTAAAAAAAATAAAGACTCATACCAAGGAGCATGGTTAAGCCTAAGTAATTTTTTGCATGAAAATGTAAAATAAACAGCGAGCTTTCCAAAGGTAACAATGAAAAAAACGCTTATATATTGGATATTGAAAGTGTTAAGTTAGATATGTTGCAATAGTTGATGATTATTTCTTGTATGACGATCGATGGCGACTCTCTTCCTGACTATATATATATATATTTTTTTTTTTTTTTTTTTTTATTATCCTCCATCACGCATTCTCTTTTTAGTCCTTATGCTTGACAAAGCATCCTAAGCAAAGACATTTGTCACCATTACTCTATAAAATAAACCTGTAATCGCGTTGTAGTTGTTTAAAGGCAGCTGTAGTCACTACCATCAGGTGAGCTACATGCTCATTTGCGTCCTCCCTAAAAATATATTAATAATAGCAAATTCTGAGTTTACCTATATTTTAAATATAAGAATTTTATCGTTAAAATTATTTCTCTGCCGCTATAAATTATAAGAAAAACAAACACGCCGCTTTTCGGCTCTTTTGCAGGTAAATGAGGTGGAATAACAAAGTGCCTCAACAGTAGCACGGCTGCCATTGTGGCGAGCTATACGCCTATCGAAATTTATCTTTGAATAAATTTTATATATATTCGTAAAGTTTGACTTACAACCATCTTACTAATGAGGAGGCCTCGTGCCTATCAATCATGGAATTATAAGCTATTTTCTGATTAACAATTTTTACGGATTCTATCGTTTTTTTTTAGGTCCACCCATTATCACGGGGCTGACTAATGTATTTGACGACCTGATGTAGTTAACTCGAGCTACATTCAAATTTTAATTTTTCTTGGTTCCAATCTAAAAATAAGCGTATTGTATCTTGAATCTTACAGTTTTATGGCTGTGCTTGATATAATTCTACTACTAAGTAATTTTATCTATTGGCTAGGTTATTTTTTAAACTTTATATTTCAATTGCCTCTCGAATCAACCTAGTTAAGAATTGGTCACCGTTTATTAAGAATAGTAGACCGTTAAATCTAATGAAAGGCGTGGACGAACTTAAATTTCATCAAAGACTGCAGACTTCGCAGATAGTCACCATCGATCGCCATATGAGAAATAATCATCAACTATTGCCATAAATTTAGCTTAACACTTCCATTGTCCAATTTTTAGACAATAGCAATATACTACTCGGAACAACGAATGAGTTGATATGAACATGAGAAACATGAATTTTCAGCTCGTAAATTGGTTCATAGTTACACTTTTTCGTACTTAAATCTACGAAGATAGGTTGACGAACTATTCCCAGTTCAGTTAGCGATAAGCCTGAGAAAATGGCCACCTTTCAACCTTTCTGCAGATTTTTTATATTATAATTTAATATAAACTCAACCCTGAGGGTAGCATCTCAGTTCAGTGTTGAATGGCTGGCTTAGGATCCATATAATTTGCAGCAATAAGAATCCACATAATTTGGAGCAAAAATCTCTATATATAAAACGATTTGCTATTTAAAAAACTTTGTTTGTCTGTCTATCTGTCCAGATTAATCTTTGGATAGGCTGAACCGATTGTAATGAAACTTAACCCTCATTACCTATTTCTGCCACCAAATAGCAGTACCTGAATTGCGGTGCTCAGTTCTGAAATATATATATAACCAGCATAATGACAGGCTTTGAGGCATTTCATATTAGTCCTTAGAGTGACAACGCAACTGTAGCTTTATTTGTATGAAGTTGGCTGCCGTTGTCCGTTGACTGTGTCAACCACTCACCATTTGTTGGACTGAAAGTTCGTTTGTCATTGCAATTTCATGTTAAAAGTCTGAATTTACAGCTAGTAAAATAATCATTTTATCTTTAGTTTCAATCATCTGCACACCAGATCACTTTGGCTTTTACATGTTAGTTGTAGCTCACCGCAAAGTTTTTGATGCTATTCCTCAGTTCACTACAAGAGCTCGTTTTCACAAAACTTTTCACTTCATACCATCATTTAAATTTTAAGGTACGGTATCATCATGAGTCCAATCCTCGCATACTTCAATGGAATTATTAATTTTAAGTTAAGTATTGTTTTATCACAAACATCTTAAGAAATCTGTGTTTGAAAAAAAAAGTTGTGAACACGTAAAATCTAAGCAATATTACGTTCTTAGGCACCAAGAACTATTATTTTTTAAGAGAATAAAACTAACAAACGACCAAACATTCCATCTTTCTTTAAAGTGATATTGTAGCTGACAGACATCTACATTACAATTCAAATCAATTATATCTATTCTTGATTATGAATCAAAATGTAGATGCGTTTCCCTGAGGACTAATAAGCCGATGCCTGTATTCAAGAGAATCATTTCATTTTCCGTAACAATCCGTTTTATTACATTACGTAAGAGGTGCATGTTGAACAGTTTATATATCAAACTATTCATTTAATAGCTTAGGATAACTTAAAACAAATTTAAAAAAAAATAAAAGGGTCATAAATAATTGAATTGGTTTGTTTAAAAAAGCTTCGTTCATTTAATTTACTGTCAAATTCCTGGAAACCGGGCATGCCTTATTTCTAGTAAAAAGAGTCACCAGTTGTCTGGTATTCTGCGAGAGCGTGGTCCTTCGCCGGTCAAGCTGACCCACTTGTGCGACAACCACAACATAACGGCAGTGTGCCTCTATCACGTGTAATTCCAAAAAGTGTATTGTTAATATTTGTAAATCTTTTTTTTTTCGCCAATTAAATAAAATTATCATGTGGTGGTTCTTTCTCGATCGCTTCAGTTGATTTCAATAAAAATTGATAACGTATATCAACTATAGCATCGCTTCAACAAGTTCTTATGAAAGAAGGACAAGAAACTCACAAGTAATCTATTTTTCCCCATCAGTTACAACTGGTACGAATATATGCACTTTCTTGAACTATTTCAAGCCGATCAGATTTATCTACTTTCTAAACCGAAAAAATAAAGATATAAATTGAATGTAGCGAAATAAAAAGGAAAAAATACTACATACAAATACGCCTATAAAAAAGTGAAGGAAATTTGTTATTCTAGGTGCAAACCAACCGAGATTCGTGGGTGAGGGGTCAAACGTGACTGTTGCGGTCGGCCGAGATGCGACAATCACGTGTAGAGTGGACAACCTGCAAACATTCAAGGTGAGTTGGAAAATTTTATTAAATATTTTGCAAGATTACGATACAGGTAATTAGAAACCCACAGATTAATGTTGCTTTACTTAAAATAATATATAAATCTTAATAACTTTAAAGTACTTGGCAACACAAACCATGTAGTGGCGATGTAAGAGTATCCACTATCCCATATCGTTCCGTGGGTGTCGTGAGAGGCGACAGAGGGAAACAAATAAGAACATTGGTAGCAGCGTCTTTTTGGTAACAACTGGAATAAAACTGCAGTTGCCAACCCGCTTGCCAAACGTGGCAAATATAACAAAATCTCTTGAAAGTAAATCTAAGTGGGAGGCCTATTTCAGCAGTGGGCTTTTGATATCCTTTTACTGTAACAGTAACTCGACAACTCCACGTAGTGTATGAAGTGTTATTAAGAAACATCTTACAAAAAATAGAATTTAAATTTATTTAACAAAAACAATCATCACAAATCAAAAATGACATTTTATATTTAAATATGACTTCCAACATGAATTGTGTCTCCAACAAGAATTTTACCAAGACGGAACATTCTTCAAATACAAAGTAAATAAGAAATTTGAATAAAACATGATTAAAGAAAAGTCAGGGGGAAACCGTCAAGAAACAGCCACTTCATTAATCTTCCCCGGCTAAGCTGTTTGTTAAGAATTCAAAAGCGTGACAATTTTTTATGAATAAATGACAATTTTCTCAAGGAAAACGAAACAATAACAGTATATTAGAGATATTAAAATGGACTGTAGCCTTTGAATAAAAAAATCCATTATCACTTCTCAAATAAGTTTCATTTTTATAATTATTTACGAAAGGCAACTTAACTTAGGAGATTTATTTATACAGAAATGCTAACGTAAATATAGCCTTTGAATCAAAAAATAAATTATAATAATAATAATAATAATAATTTATTTTATTTTGATAAAATGTACAAATTATTCCAATAAGTCTTAACTTAAAAATAGTCTACAATAACAGGCACCTGAACTAGGATAAACCTGTATCTCAGGTGTATGTGCTAAAAGATACATTAACAAATATTTTCTGTTTCTTATATAAAATGAATAACGTACTAGCTAATAAGGGTTATTTGGGTAAAATATATTATCATTAATTTACTTATGATATTAATTAACTTAAAACAATCAACAACTTCTCCGTATCATCGTATGACAAATTTTGTAACCATGTTCGAATTACCTTTTTACAGTCTGCCATTTTTAATGGATATATATACAAAATTGCATTGACTTGATTATACAAAAAAGGGCCGAGAAATGTAAAAAATCTATGCATGAAATAATGCCTTATTCTAATGTTATTTTCAATTACTTTATCTTTGCGCCTTTTATCAGTGACCTCTCTTCTATAAGGCAATCTTAAGTGCTGTTTTAGTAACATGCTCATAACAAATAACTGGCGCACTGAGAGGACATTATAGGATTTGTATAAGAGATGGGATGGAAATAGAATAGGACGGAATGTTGCAACTTTTAATTATTAACGATATAATTTTTACAGTATAACGAGTTTAATTTTTACAATTCTTAATAATGAGCAACATTTTAAATAAAGAAGTTAATTTTTACGGGACAATTCATGTAAAACGTTGATAAACGGCTGGTTACAACAGTTCAAATGACAAAGAAATTGGCAGCTATTGCTATGCACTCTAGCGTTAACTAGTCCACTTGCAGTTCGTACTAGTTCCTCTTCGAAATTCATAGAAAATGCATTTGACGGCTCCGTGTCACAGTGGTTCAACAATAAGGTGCAGTGCTAAGGGCCACTAGTTTGAACCCCGCACGGTACATTTTATACAAATAAATTTGTATACAGATAATTATTCCGTATCAGGAAGTTTGTACAGAATAACCGAGTGCCTTATGTGTATGTGAAAATAAATATACTAAGTAGTGTAGGAGGTAATATTGTAGAGGTAAAGTTAAAAAAAATACTATAGAAAAAAGATGCTACTCGTAGTTTTATAAAACTACCTGAATACTAAATACTTAATTTTTTCAGATTAAGTATACTTATATACACCTAATTACATATTTGTTTTTTTTTCTCAACTAGGTAGCATGGCTACGTGTCGACACTCAAACAATACTAACTATCGCAGGGCACGTAATTACAAAGAATCATCGTATTACCATTACTCATGGTGACGGAGCTTGGACGCTTAGCCTTCGCGATGTCGGCCCCCAAGATAATGGTTATTATATGTGTCAAGTCAACACCGAGCCTATGATGAGTCAATTGCACCAGCTCCAGGTTGTCGGTAAGAAGATTTTTTACATATTTTTAAACAATAATTATGGTTAAAAAAATTTAAAAAATTATTAAGCGAAACACTTATTTTGGCGGGCGGGAAATATACTTCAAACTGGGTAAGTATATATTATTTTATATATAGTATATATCATTGTATTTTATTACGCGTATTTTAGCTGATTAATTTTTAACATTATTTAATATAATAGATTTTGAATAAAATCTTATCACCTTGAAAATATTAACCCTTGTAAAAATGTTTTATTTTTATTTTAGGTGACATTAACATTGATAAATTATTTCTCCAACTGAAACAAATCAAGAAAAATCAAACATATTATATTATTTAAAAATGATATCTTTGCATGGAATTTTTTCGTTTCATAATTTACTCACGATGGGGATGGCTGTCTTGACCACGTCTTATTGAGACTTGACAAAAAATACACACAGATAAGGAAAAAATTCGCGGTTGCGAAAAAAGCGGGGCAACTATGGCAAATATCCCTCTATTTTGCATAGGATAGTGTGAAAAACGAGCACGCAGTTCACCTGATGGTAAGTGTTTGCTGTATCCTATAGACATCAACATCTATCCTCGATTACGATTCAAAACGCAGATGTGTTGTTACCCCTAAGAACTAAGATGTAATGCGTCTTTTCCATTAAAAAGGGTCTCCGGTTCTTTGCACTCACCATACAAAATACAGCAGCGTTAAGCTACTATTTCACGCTGGTATTCTGTGAGAGCGTGGTCTTTACCCGGTTGTGCCAACCAATTCGTGCTACAACTATACTATTAATAGAGGTGCACCATAACTTCACCACGTATACACCTAAATGGCAATCTATGGAGAAGACCAGCAGTGAACTTTCAAAGATAGCCAGTCAAATGTGGTGCTTAAGGTGAATTTTTCTGCAATATTACATGTCCATATCTAGTATTAAATTGTCATTGAGTGATAAAAAATTGTAAAAGATTTACCATTTTTTTCACATAATAGTAATGATAAAACCCTAGATGTTAAATTATCTTATCACAGTGTAACGAAAGCTTATTTACTCTGCCTTAAAGGCGCAGATTGTATTCGGACGGAAATACAGACGCCGGCAAATCTTTTAACTCCTTTGCTGTACGCATTACAAAATCCGAAGCAAACTGTTCGGTTCAAATGCATGGAATATCGACAACAAAGGGATGAAGACCCGAAAACTGCCTGTTTGTCCAATGGGAGATAAGGGAGGAATCAAAGCATGTTACTCCTGCGCACACTTTCCGAAATGCATCCTATGTAATTTTATCTTTATTAGCTTATAAGGTCCAAGTGGTAGGCCTCTTTTTCTCTTTAGAGACCTCTCTGATCTGAGGAGTTATGTTTTTTTTATAGAAAAGGGTGACATACGAGCAACGTCCACTATGGTAAGTGGTTGTCTTTTTTTCCTTGCTATTTCTAAATCTCTTTTTAATAAGATTTATATTTCATTTCTGAAAAATGCTATTATGTATTTCCGCATTACACTTATTTGGTAGCTTATCTCAATTATGTCACTTTCACAATTACTTATTATACACATATAATTTATTATAATTATTATACACAATTATATGCTTATGAAATTATTGTTCACTGATTTATGTATATTACTTATTATATATAGTACCACCAGACATTGACGATGACGCAAGTAGCAGTGACGTAATTGTTACGGAGGGGGACAGTGTTGCCACACGATGTATTGCTTCCGGTACGCCGTTACCTACTATTACGTGGAGAAGAGAAGACTCCAAACATTTCATTGTAAATAGCGAGACCTCAGGTTTGTATATTTTTGTAAAATAATGTTTAAAATTGCAAATACGTATATGTTTTCATACATTTATAAAATATTCAATTTGGCAAAATCAACTTAGTAATTTATTTACGTGGTTTCTTTTATACACATATAAATAAATATATAAAATATGAAAACGTGACTATGTTATACATGTGCAACACTATGTCCGAAGATGCAATAGAAATATCAAGAAAAGATTCCTGTAAATTTCCGTTGACAAATTTAAGGCGCGTAATTTGACTATCATTCATTCGACACAAAATTAGTGTCCAAAAAAGATTCAAGAATTTTGCTACACCTCAAATCAGTCTTACAAGATCATCTGGAATAGTGGCCGTCGAAGTCACCAAGTACAGGTGTTTTACTCGTTTACTCGTCTTAAACGAAAATATTTCATACCAGTCACTTTGAGAAGTTCGTAACTGGTGGGCAGTAGATAGAAAATATGTAATCAATATATATTTACAGTTGAAAAATTTAACACACATTACTTCAATGAGGATTTGAAAAATGAACTGGGATTAATTGTGCCTTAATGAAATTGAGGGTTATAATAGCGAAACCCCCATACGAATCTTTTCGATCGTGACGGATAACATTATAGCCACTTATTCTAAAAATACTCCACTATTTAGTTATATTTCACAAGTAGCAGCTATATAAATTTTTCACTATTTAATAACTGCTCAAATTCAACATATTTGGGCTTAACACTTTGAGAATTCCACTGCGGAACGTTTATTTGAGAGTTTATACCCATAACTGATCGAAGGTGTTTATAAAAAGAAGGCCCCAGATGTACTCTCCTACTATCGATACCAACCCTTCAGTGGATAGTGTTACTCCTGGAATTATTCTACTCTTTAAATTTTACTATGAGTTAGAAATTAATGCATATTATTTTGCAAGCAACTGCTACTAATTTAAATTAGATCTGCACTTCTTTTTTCTCTCATTTCTAACTTGAATTGCATTTTTCGACTCATTGACTAAATTATTATTCATTGTTTCTGAATCCAAAGATACATCCCAGTTACACATTTCATTTTGACTTTGTTCCCTTATCTTGTTTATTTTCTTCTTGAGTCTCTGTTCTACTGATTGAGACACATTTGTTGAGCACATTTGTATAGAATATGATTGTTAAATGGTACTATCAGGTTGCGGCGCTCGGGTCACGCTTGCATAGGAAATAACGTTTTTGTCTTGTGACTGATGGGATACGTGTTCAGTTACAGACTCGGGAAACTTACTCAAGCGTGCCTGTGAAGTTGAGTTAATTTGTTCCTCGCGCAGTGGAGGGACGGCTTCTGGTAGAATATATATTTGCAACCCCTTCCTATAAGAGCAGTTGAACTATGTCATCAAATCCCTAATTTTTTCCTTTTTTTAAACGCAGGTCATGATCTATCCAGGGATAAATATTTTCCTGTACAATTAACACATTTATAAGACGTAGTCTTACAGATAGCTTTACCCTTTGAGCAATTAGGGTACACAACTTTTTTGCATGGACAAACACGTAAGGAGTGCCGTAATCACCTGCACCTTGAACACTGGGTAACTGGGAACACGTACGGGTAGTCATTTATCTTCATGCCGTAGATGTAGACACACGTTGGTAGTTAGGGGCCTTTGAACCACAGACGTATTGATTCACTTTCTTCCCAGCCATCACCATCTTTATTCATTCAAAATTAATTGAAACAACTTATACCATGTCTTTTTCACTCAAGTCTAATTCTACATTCTTAATAACACCGTAAGATATAATGACTTCTAATGGTTTTTGGAATCTCTAACCTAAATCTTGCAAAGGTTTGCAATTGATCAACTCCTCGGCGCTTTCTGCATTTTGAAAATGTATGAAAACTTTATAGGGGTTTATAATTATATTTTACCCGGCTAACACTGCTAATGTTATTTGACTTTAGTAATTTACAAGCGCGAATTACTTCGGTAGCTTTTCGGAATTATTAATATACACATCAACCTTTTTGCTGATTTTTTTCCATTTCTTCCTATCGCTATCCCGCCTTCTTCCTCATCCACCTCCCGGGGTCTCTTATTATGTCTAACTTTTGAACTAGAATCTTCAAGCATTTTTTCCTCACGTTGTGTATTATTCTTCTCCAGTAAACACATCTCCGCAACATTACTTATCTCGATTAGAATATTATTACACTCATTATATTCTTGAATTATATCTTCCTCCATGTTAAATAAAGTACAATATTATATGCACCCATTCACCATTGTACGATGTGCGTAAATAGTAGATACACAATAGCGAAAAATAGGTAAGGTAAGACACGGAGGTAGGACAGCTCGGCGAGAAAAAACAACGCGACGCGGACAAGTTCCCACAGTAAACACACCTACTTGTTTCGTTCGTGCAGTGCACAGTGACATAATATGTGGTCTTTTAACAAACAAAGGTTTTTACGTTATTAACGTTAATACCAGAAAAAAATTGTGTGCTTATTACAAAAAACAGGCTATCTGAGGTTACGTTAGCACCAAAGTTAGTACTGGTTTCAATATCATCCACAGACAAGAAACAAAAAATGACACTCTTTCCCTCGTAGGTAGGGATTAGTCTAGGTAGGATACAGGTTTCATTCAATGCAACGTTCGGTTAAATTAAATATTAATATTATTTTCACACTTAATTATACTTACATAATTATTAATCAATACAAAAACATATCATAAATTATGTTATTTGTTTAAGTTAAAATCTATAATACAAGCACTAATTATACTTTTGACGTAATATTTATATTCAAGTTGTTTTCATTTTAACGAATCTAGTGTGAAAAAGAGTGAATAACATAGGTACCGCAAGTGCGTGGTTCAAGACGTTCAAAATTGTTTATGTTGCGTCCTTATGCATAATAAGTAAACGCTCTCATTAGAATACATTGCTCTCAGTATTGTGGTATTGTATGTATTGAGTTTTTTTTTGTATCTATATAATGGAACAAAAGAAAATAGGGGTGAATATTGGAGCTCTGAAGAAATTTTTTGTTAAATATCGTAATTTATTTGTTAGTACGTACCACACCCTTATCTTCCTATCATCATTATTTCTACTAAAAATAATGTTCTTATTATAATAGGAAATAGTGTGTACAGTTAGTTAGTAAGTTATTGCTCAATCAGCACATATTTTGGAGGATAAGTCAACAGAACACACAAACGTCCGTAAATATGCAAAACTAAAAGAGAGGAAGTATTTAACTAATAAGTGCAATTTTTCAAAAAGATTTCATATTCTTATTTTTATATTTAATGATATAACAGACAAAATATCGATCAGATAGGGAATTTAAGTTTGCTTGGAAGAAAATGAAGTTGTCTACTAAACACAACTTATGTACCTATAGGACCTTTGAGCATTAAACCAACTCAAAGGCGCAAACAACCAAAGAGAAGAGGTAGTGAAAAAGCACCATCACCTTCTCCTGAGGATTTCGAAATTATGGCGATTGCTCCTTATAACTTTGTCGTTGAAGTTAATGACTATGATAGTGATGCAGTCGTAAATAAATTACTTAAATGTCTTACAAATATAATTAAAATCAAATAACTTTATTGACATTACTTAAATAAATTATATAAATAATCTGCAACCAAAGTGTACAATTTACAATTCAAAATAATTTTCACATCGTTTAGGTAAAAAAATGATTGCTCCGTTTACGGTAAAAATAAAATAAGAAAATTACGATACAAAATTAACAAAGAAAATTGGAAGAAAATGAAATAAAGACAAATATAATAATGGAATCGACGGGAAAGAACTAGATGCAACTTATAAAGAAAGGTTTAAAAATATAATGTAGAGTTCTTTTTAAGTCAAATATCATTAGTTTTGTAGCACCTGACAAGAATCATTATATTAAGAAGTATGTTGTATGAAAAGCAAAAAGGAATTTTCCATGTACATTAATTGACAATTTAAAAAATACAAAAAAATGATTACCCTAAAATATGATTAAGTTATTTCTGGCTTTCTTGGCTGAAACTGATTTAGATATGTTTCCCACGAAAAAAACGAGACACTCTAAGACCTATTAATTAAGGAACTATTGGTTTCTGGTACGCATAGAGCTAAGGTTACGTCAGAAAATAATACAAATAAGCAACTTGAATCGTTGTGCTGCAATGAATATGACGAATAATGATTTGGTCTTATGTTCGGGTCTTGCAAGAGAGTATTACGTATCTAGGGATTAATGATCCAACTAGAGTAGACCAATGGGTTACTAAAAAAAAAACTACAAATCGTTAATATCTAAAAATTAATACGCATAGCTGCTAGAGTGGTTATTTCGAACGTAACAGATTTTGTTGGTGCCGTCAGGGTTTAACTCAGGTTGCTCGCGTACTGTGAAATTTAAGGCAAGTACTTAGCCATTTAAATTCCACGGTTTCACCGCAAATTATTTTGTTTTTTATATTAATGGCTTTATTTTCCGCTTTGAGTCAAAGTTAGATTAAATATTTTATTATTTTGTGAAAAAATATTAGGTAGTCTTTTCACTATCAATTCATCCCATACCGTTACAGCCTCTTAAATTAAAATGTTGAACATATACCTCCCCTATAGATAGCAATATAGGGGGAATATTCGCCATAGTTAGTTGGTTGGCAACCACAGTTTTTATTTTTAGTCGTTATTAAGAAGATGCTGCTGCCCATCTCCTGATATTTTCCCCTCTGTCGCCTCTTACTATACTAGGGGATGGTATGGGGTAGTGGATATTCTTACTCCGCCACTGCATAGTCACGTTATAAATCTATCCCAAAAATTTCACAATTTTCTTACAATAATTTATGTTCATGATGAACATTTACAAATTTTAATCTTTACACAAATGAAAATGCTTATAGTTCAACCAAAATTTTCTTTATGTTACTATTAGTTATACTCTGAATTACGGGATAAATTAAACATTTAGTTGTGTGTAAACAGTGCCAAAATGGAACGGGTCTTGGTTAAACATTACGAACGTGCAACGGGAAACATCAGGGGCCTATCTATGTATAGCATCAAATGGAGTCCCGCCATCGGTCAGCAAGAGGATACAGATCAGCGTCATGTGTGAGTATAAATAATTTTGGATTTATGTCAGACCGCTTAATCACGCCTTGAATCACTTTTGTATAAACGAATCCAATAAACCATATTTTCACAATGTAATATGATGTTCTCAATGTTCATAATCACACTCAATGTAAATTGATGATTTCTACGATAAATACAACTTCAACAACTCACACACACACACTGAATGCTATCGACACTCCTATCTATCTTCGATAAAGAATCCAGATGCTGATGTGACAACGCATAATTTCCTTGAAGATTTATTTCTGGTTTCTGTATTTAGAAACGCTCCGTTTCCTTTAACAAGCCATTTTTCAGTAAAAACAGTAGTGCATGAAAGCTGATGACGTAAGTATGAATATTTGCACACTGTTTTGTTTTTTTTTAAGTCATAGTAAGTTGTTGAATAAATATAAACTTTTTAAAATGCACCTAGTATGTAGTAAAACAAATATTTACGAAGAACAATACATTTATTGAATATAGGAATTAGGCATTGGACGGAATGCCTCGTTACTAGCAGAAAGTGTTTTTCTCGCCATTCATCATAAGAAACACGTATTTACACGAATTTTTATGAAAATTTTCGGTGGTATTTTATATTCTAGGAATCCTTTGGAAAGAAATATATTATGAGACCTAAATATTTTTAATAACCACCACACCAACACCACAAAAACATAATTATCTACCTTATTTCCAAATTTCAATTTAGATTTTAATGACTCTAAATTTATAATAGGTTTATTCGTAAAACATATTCAATCAAAGCGTTACGGCCCTCAGTTGCCCCGACAAAAGTCGACTGGGCTAGGGCCCATAGTAACCCAGCTCAACGAGCAACCGAGGGTTAGGTCCCAATGGTCTATGGATAATTAACGGCTGTAAAGCAAATACAAACTTACAGAGTTACGAAGGTAGGGTCGACCACAAGGTGCCGTCAGGGGCAAGTAAATGGTATGTGTGAGTGGTGTGGGAACGTGTGTAATGTAACCAGACGTCACCGATGTAATCGGATAGTAGAACCACATGCGTTGCCCAGCTCCACAAGGTGCAATCACTCCAGAGGGCGTTCGCCGTTATCAGAACTCAAGTCCAACGTCACTTGGCACAAATATAATCGAAGAGAACATGATCTCCTACCGGATTACAAAGTTTATCGTTCAACCGACAAAGCAAAATTCAATAATAAAATACTACACAAGCCACGCGTCGATGCAAAATAATGGCAATTGAAGTTACATTTGTCACTCAATACTCAAGGAAAGCCTCGTTGTCACGTAGACGTACAAAATAAGACAACACAAAAGGCCGTCGTAATGTGACGTACGATTCTTACGTTACTCCCGACATCTAACCGGCACGGCCGTCGCGTACAAACGAATATTCTAGACTAATTTCCCGACCTCCCACCGGCACGGCCGTAATGCACAAATAATCTTCTAGACTAGCTGACATCGACGTAGGCGCAAAGCTAATGCCCCCCTCCCCCCCCCCACGAAACCGGTTCCTCGCCCGTGACGAGCGCCTTGTAAGTTTCAAGATGCCACGATTTGGCGTAAACACAAAGTGTGCTTAATAGGTGTAAAAAATTACAATTACGTGGGTCTAATAAGAGAGTAATGACGGTGTCAAAATAGCCATATATAGTTCTCGTATATAGTGTCGACCTTCAGCAGCGTCTTCCTTGTAATAGCTAAAAATTAAAAATAAACTGCTATTGTCACTACACCAGCCAAGAGTGACAACTATTGTAAGTGGTTAACTTTGTATGGCAATATATTGGAAGATCTTTTTTCAGCAGTGGATTTTGATAGGTTGCAATGATAACGAATTTCTTGTAAAATATTTGTACAACTGAGTTTAAAATTTTAATTAAATCAGATCTACGTTGTAGTTTACTCTTAACACGCCTATATGTAATTATCTTACAAATTATAGATATGGAATTTTCGGACTTACGCCTGATGTCCTCTCCGGTCGTGTAGAATTACCGTCCTATCGGACTATGGGGGTGAGGGATAGAAAATGCACTCAGTGAGTAAGTTGTATAGAGTGTCTTGCGCAGATGGCTGTTTTCCCAATAAACTGGCCACCGATATCAAAATAGGTCTGAAGGACATTATTATTACTGTTAATTTTGTTCTCAGTTACTCCAAAAGTGTGGACGAATCGGGTGGCTATACGTGCTCTGACTGGCAGCACTGTAACATTACAGTGTCTTGCTGATGCTTACCCGCCGCCACAAGCTTACTGGACACTGAATGGAGAGCAGAGGCTTTCAAATGGCAAGTCCGAGATGTTTTTATTGTATCAATACAATACTATTTTTATAAATGTATCTATTGCTAGGCAAAAGTTGTCTACCAAATAAATTATAACCTTATTGAATACAAAACTCAATCTATGGAGTTATTTTATTCATACAACTTTAAGTTTAAATTTTTTCATATTTTATTATATTCCGTGAATAGCTTATATCTAAAGATTGGTAAAACTGCCCTAAAAGTAATTGGATAACGAAGATGTTGTATGATATAAGTTAAATATATTTATTTATGTAATTAAGATATATTTCCAAATGGAATCAGATGACATAGGGTATAATATATACTCAGTTCATAAATTATTTAAAATATTATATCAAATTTATTATGCAATAAATATGTAAAGTTTGATAATAGGGAACATATTTTCTAGAATGTAATTAATCAAATTCATTTCAGAAATATCATCAACAGAATTATTTTAGAAATATCAAGGAAATAGTTCGTTCCCTTTTTGTATTCTATTGTTTAAAGCTCTTTGGCTACTTTCCAAAGATTTCGCCACTTTACTGTGTTCTCGTAAAGTCGGGGATTGATTGAATGTAACAAGCAACTATATATTTCCTCTTATTTTCAAATCTTTTCTTTTGCTATATTTTTAGACTTTTTACATTAAATTTTTAACTATTATTTTACATTTGTCGTGGACTATTACATAATATTCAATTAATTTGCAAAATAATTTTTTTTTTTCATTTCACCTCGTTAATTAAAATACGTTTCTAAGATGGTCAGCAAAATAAAAATCAGAAAATTCTGAAAGTTTTTCAAATAAAATATAGCCTAGATATTAATCTCTTTCCTTTTTTGAAGCCACCTAAAATAAAACACTGCTTAGCGTAATTAATGTAAGCGATTAAATAAATTTAACAAAATGCAACTACAAAATATTTTTTTAATGTGTATAATTATATATACACTATATCGGTCAAATAGTGTGGCACTGGAGCACCGTAGCCAAACTTTTTCGCTCAATTACTCTTCAAAAAATTAGATCTCTCATTTTGAGGGGATAATGGAGCCTGAGACTAGCACTTGGATGTTTAAAAGATGTTAATTTACTTTTTACTATATTTAGTAAGGTCTGCTGTGTGTAATTATCAAGTTACTAAATTAAATAATTTTTTGGTATTTAAAGTTAGTTTTCTATTTTTTGTGGTTCGAAAATACACAGTTGGAGTAATCGCAACTTAAAAATTTTGACAAATTTTGATATTTATTGAGATTTAATAATTGCACTGGTAGTATATTTACTTATAGAAGTGAAGCGACAAGCGACCACGCAGTTTCCTAAAATGTGAGAAGATGCTGCGTCCTATGGGCATCCGCATTTATCAACGATTAAGAATGAAACTGCAGTTATGTTTTCACGAATGAAGACTAAGGTGGAATGATTTGTTGTCACTAAAAAAGGTCTTGCGTTCTTTACATTCAGAAAATAACAGCTTAAGCTACTTACGAAATTAAGCTGATATTTTGTATAAGCATAGTCCTTTTCTGGTCGTTTAATTGGAGAAATCATATTATTAAACTTATCAAGTACACTACTAGACATATATCATTTCAAGAGTGGACCGCATAGTATTTTTCCTGCCTTTTCCCACGACGCTAGAAAGACGGCAGGGCAGAGCCTCACACTGGTAATACTGCCTCCTATAGCCAATCTCTTTGCCGTGTAGTGACGACGTAAGGTCTATCGCCTCATTTAGTTCCGCGAGGTTATTAAATGCGACTATGGGTAATGTTAGAAAAATCTTATGATTTCCGATGGACTGGGGTAAAATCATTTCGTTTGCGCTAGGCATAAAACACCCATATCCGTGAAGGGCAGCAACGTCAAAGGCATATATTCTAATTCTAGGATATTTAATCAGCTTGCTGAGCGTGAATATCAAGGCAAATAAAGTGGAATTTGTCTTATTATATAGGATAGGGTGACAAACGAGCACACAGTGCCCCTGATGGTAAGTGGTTATTGCGGCCCATAGAAACCCTCATGTATTCTCGATCACGAATCAAAATGCAAATAAGTTTACACCCGTGAGCACTAACATGGAATGCCTCATTTCCAGTAAAAAGGGTCTCGGGTTCTTTACACTCACCATATGAAACACAGCAGCATTAAACTACTATTTTACGCCGGTATTCTGTGAGAGCATGGTCCTTCCCCGGTCGAACTGATCCATTCGTGCTACAACTATAGTAATAATATAACTGCAGCATGGCTCTACCACGTATGAATTTGTGATCTCTGATGACTTTCTATGGGATTCATTTTCGAACTTCTTAGAAAGATTATTTCCATATAAGGCAGTCGTTAGAGTCTTGTTCATTTACCTGCAGAAAGAACAATACATAGGTGAGGTTGGTACTTGAACAAAAAAAAGGCAATTTTCCATCCCAATTCTGGGGAATTACTTTTTGGCTGTTATCAAGAAATCTTTATAGTTTATTATTCTTGTATAGTCGTGACTCACACAAAAAACAGCTTTCTAAAATCACAATACTGATACTTGGAAATGAAAACGTTTTCAGAAACTTTACTTTTTTATTTTTAGGAACAAAATACAGAATTCTCAACTCGCTAAGGGGTTATACTTACAAATTAAATTTAATGATAGACAACATGTCAAGAGAGGATGCTGGTTCGTATTGTTGCCACGTGGAAAATAGACTCGGGCGAGCTCAAGCTGAGCTTTTTTTGCACAGTAAGTTTATGAAAATGCTTCAGATACAACAGTGTCATGAAAAAGATACAAATTTATAATGATCATTTTTAGACCATTTGACATTTTCATAGTGTTACATAATAGATAAAATATTTTAAATAATACATGAAATTATAATAAAACAAATACATACATATCAAAAAACTAAATAATTCACTTTAATACAATGAAACACTTTAATGCAATATTAAAATATAATAACATACTATTATGATAATTATAGATTTTTATTATTAATAATTCAATTGAGATTGATTGAGATTATTATTAATTGAATATTGGAAATTTTATAATTTTCAATTATATCTGACTAGTGAATTTTTATATAGTATAGAAATACTTAGAAAATCTCCAGTAGTATGTATGAACGAACATCCTATTTTGGTAGTACTCCTATTCTGCCTAGAAATCTGTGTAGGTGCCTACACTTTTGTATCTGATCTGAAATGCGTAGGTCACTCAATAAGTTTCGAGACGCTCGAAATTTAAAAATGGAACACACCCGTGTTATATGTTTCTAAAAAAGCAAATTTATTTAAAAATATAACTCCATAAGCCAATTGCTCAATATTAACCCTTGATTTACCACCCTAATTAAAATATCACTTATCACCACCATGAGTCCCCGGGACTGATGTTTTAATTTTTTTACTAAACGAAAGATATTATTTATGTTGTTATTTATTAGACTTCTAGCAAACAAAATAATTCGTACATATCCGGTAACATTTTGTGATAAACTCAAATTAACATGTATTTTACAAATATTTTAAAATTAACAGTCAAAAAATAAATGTTGTCCAAGGACAAAATAAAATATTTTTTCTTATAGAAGACATTATGAGGTAATTAAAAATAATAATAATTAATAATGGCACTATACAAAATTTCAAAACGTGCAGTAAGTTAACATACTAATGTGTTACACATTTTTGGCATATCTTTTTGGAACAAGTAAGGCAGCTGCTTCTTACAGACATTGCGAAGATAAGTAGTCTGTGTTCGTTTCTTATGATTGCAATTGCAAGTATAGCAATTTATGCGCTGATCTCTCGGTAAAATATCATCAGTTAACGTTGTACTTGATTGATCAGGAATGTCTATATCATCTGCAATGTTTACCGATTCAATCTGGTACGTTTAGATGCCATAGTAAAAGGCTACAACAAAATTAACATAGATAAACAAAAAAGTCAGTAAATCCATTTTTGTCACACAACACTCCACCATGAGTCCCTGGACTCACACTCGATCATATTTACCTTTCCGAACGACGTGCGCATACGACCGCTCACCTCTGCGTCCTGCACCTCACCGCAGGAAGGTACTAGAAAGTACAAGTCTAAACTCTAAAAAATTAACTATTGTTTTGTTTAAAAGTGGTGATGAGTCCCTTGGACTCAGGGTGGTGCATTAAGGGTTAAAAATAAAACAAAGTTCTATTAATTTTATTGCAACGCTTTCCGCGTCTTTCATTGAAAACGATGGACCTTAACCATGACCATTTGCGCGTTGTGATCTATTATGATTTTAAATTTGGTTTAACCGAACAATTAAGTTTACAACGGTTACAATCAGCATTCGGGGACTCAGCTCAAGAAAAAATGTAAAATAAATATTGATAGTATCTAGAATCCTTTTTGTATGTCTTAAATCTTATTAAGTGTCCCACGTATATAGAGATCCAGTATATTTACAGGCATGGGGCAATCCATCTTAGTCCTCAGTGGTGATAACGAATCTGAAGCCATCGTTGTTTTTAAAGTATAAGGCTGACAAACAAGCACATAGTCTACCTGATGGTAAGTGGATGCTGTGGCCTATATACATATTCGTCTATCCTCGATTGAGAATTAAATACAGACGCATAACCCCTGAGGACTAAGATGAATTTTCTCGTTTCCATTTGAAGGGGTAACCGGTATAACTCTACATTCAACGTGCTAAACATAGCAGTGAAAATATTAATTAATTTTCTGGTTTCTACGGATTCCAGAAGTCGCTCACCATCAGGTGTACTGTTAGTAAGTTTGTTACTTCGTATTTTTTATAAAAGTGAATGAAACCGGGAAAGTGGTTAAAATGTTTAAATATTTTCAGTGGTGACGACTACGTCTACAACAACTACGACGACAACAACAACAACCACTACTACTACCACTAGTACGACTGTTTTGCCGACAACCACAGTTTCATTATGTACGTAAATTATGTTAAAATATAGTATGGCATGTTATTCAACAGAACGCGAGTAACCCGGGTTCGATCCCCACCGGCACCAATTAAATTGTTAATTGCAATTTTATGTGCTGATTTAGCACGTGCTCGGCGGTGAAAGAAAACATCGTGAGAAAACCTGCATGTCTGAGGAATAAGAAAAAAAATATTTCGGAGACACGTGAAGTTCACCAACACGCATTAGGGTAGCGCGGCGGACACTTCCTTGCCCTAAAAACCCTCTCAGAAATGATGGGAGGCCTGTGCCCAGTAGTGGGACGTATATAAGGCTATAACTTTACTTTACTGTATTATTCCTATGTAACATCTGTTAATATATCATGTTAATATATGTTAATATATCATAGATTGGTGGCGATATTCAAATTTGGGCTTTTAAATGAGTACAGTAGTGAATTATTGGGCATTTGTAATAAAAATTCAAACTTGTGTCTCATTCAAGGAAAAAACGAAAGTCAATTTGCTAAGTTTTGCAAATTGAAACAATACGAGTACATTATAGCATAATTTTATATGTGGTTGTGGATTATCAGTAAATTAATTGTAATATTTTTACTTTTAATTTATTTTATGTCCATATTTCCTCACTCTAAAAACTAAGTTATAAAGAGGGTTCCTAAATAGAAATAACGTGGGTAAATGCCATGTAAAAAATCATGATATTAAAATTCATTACATTATGTCTTTTTTTTATAAAAGCTCAAAAAGGAAAGAAAGATCGATTCTTGAGATTATTTTTCTAAATCAATTCTTTAGATCTTATTTAGAAATAACCAACATCCCTAGAACGAAATTGTCACAATTATGAATTAAATTTATCCTAGATTTGAGTTTTAAGATCCATCCACTAATAGTGTATTTTCTAGATGGCACTGAAAGAGAGTTGGAGCAATTGCATACAGGAGTTATATCGGACCACGAATCAGAAAATGCCTATGTGGTACTAAGCCAGCACCAAATGCAGAATCTCGGTAAGCTTATTTTTCATTAATTTAGTAATATATATTATAAAATAGAGAGCCCCTAATCCATCACGCGCAGGGGCTAAATGCTTGCCATAAATTTAAATTTAAATTGATGATTTACAATGTTCTCTGTGGTGAATCAAAACACTGTCAGGACAGCGGCTGTGTATCTGAGGAATAAATTTATTTCTAAGACATATGATATCTTATTTCTCCCATCTCAAAGATGAGAGTAATCCTGTGCCGACCAGTGAAAAGTATTCAGGTAGTAGTAGGTAATTTTTATAGATTATTCTTATGGGTGAAAAACAAGCACACAATCCACTTGATAATAAGTAGTTGTAGGTTCAATGACATCTATTTCTAATTAAGAATTAAAATGTGAATATGTTGTCACCACTGAGGGCTATTATGGAAAGCCTTGTATCCAGGAAAAAGGGTCTCTGATTCTCTACACTTACTATACAAAATACAGTTCCATTAGGCTGCTATTTCTCTGGTATTCTGTGAGAGCATGGTCCTACCCGGCCAACCATTCGTGCTACAAATATAATATAGCCATAGCTTGGCTCTAGCACTTATAGCTGTAACTTAACTTTTTCGACAGAAATGGCAACAACTATGTGACCGGAGGTCGGTGGCCATGGCGAAGCCTCCTGGAATGGTCGCTGGCCACCTCTTCAAGATGCGGCCGTCACAATTGCTGCAAGCTCAGTTTATTGGTTGCTTGTAATTGCAGTATTAGCCTGACATTACGGTTACCAAAATATGTGTGTGATTCCTGCCCTTTAAAGTCATAATGGACTTATACATCTAGATTTAAGTAAGCATTGTACATAACGGTTAAATAAATTCATAACTACGATGCAAATTGTGGCCATTTTTATTGATTATGGATTTCGAATTAAACAACAACACCTGTTCTGATTTAGCTTTTGAAGTAAAATATTCTATACAACTCCATATTCAGTGTAAGTGCAATGACATGACCAATTTACGTGATTCATAATATTCAAGAATGAATAGTTCGATGCCCAAAAAGGTTAGTTAGGTTGTAATAAGCTATGTTACAATTTTAATATCAAACACACTTTAACGAAATAACGTTATAAAAATGTTTTTAATATATTTTTCGCAATTATTATCTTCTCTTTATTAGGAGAACGCTACTGCCCATCTCCTAGTTTGTTTCACTCTGTCGCTTCATCTGACACCCACGGAGCGTTATGGGGTAGTGGATATTCTTATACGTTAAAAATAATAAATTATAATATTTCATTGATTTATTTTACATATTTTTATAATATCCTGAGGTAAAAGATAAAAAATAAAAACCCTTTTTTGATTACAATACGACGAAAACAAAGTTATTTGTTTTTTATTTCGAAGAAAAAGTTGCACTTCCATCAAGATTTTTTATTTTGTTTATGGTATATTAGGGGCTTTCTGATGTCTTTTCTTTCGTTTTTTGTATAACAATACCTATAAATTGAAAAAAAATAAAAAAATTGCAATAAAAGAAAATAAAAGTATTTATTGGTTTTTTGCAACTTTCATCAAATATAAATTGTATATAATATCATACGAAAACAAGTTCTTTATAGATCCATTTTTTAAATCCGAAAACACTTTGGCAGCTACTATTTAGTTTATTATTTCCAATAATTAGTTTTATTAAGCTATTAATGATACTCATTTATATATACTATTACAAAATCGTTAGATTAAAAAAGTATGTAAATTGAGAATTTTTTTAACAATTTTACATCACTTTTCTGTTTTACAAAAAATCGATATATTAATTGGGATATTGTTATTACTGTAAATTATAGATATAAAAATTTTACTATATAAAATTGAAGATATTAGAACATAAAAAAATGAAGAATTGAACTTAATGGCTGTAAATAATTTTGCACGAAGTAGTCATATCACAATGAAACATGGCATAGCAACTTAAAATTGTTATTTATGTAAAGTGTGAATTTGGATAACTTTATATTTTTCTAAATGTTAGATCTGGTAATATAAAAGTAATATGGCCTAATTTAAAATTGCGTTAATTAACAAAATCTGTGACATTTATATTAACCGATTCTTTTGTATATATTTATACTACTTAAATTTTTGTATTGCTATGATTAAATGGAGAATTGTAAATTGGATACACAATTGTATGATATGTTCTGTTTTAAAATAAACTTTCAAAAAGGAACGCATGTCAATTTTTAATGATCCAACTTTTGTTTAACATCTCTCCGCGAGCTGTTCACCGTTAATCGGTGGCACACACGCTACGAGAAATCGCTACGATCGCACTGTACCGTTTAAACTTAACCGATAACTGAAACGTGTGTGTGATAAAACTGTAGAGTTACAACGATTTTTTAAAATTGTACGAGGGTGACACTGAAAGTTTTTAGAAAATCAAAAACTGAACAAACTAGAAACTTATTAGTTTTATTGTATCTTGAAAATAGTGTCCATTTACATAAATACATCGCTGCATCCGATGGAACCACGTCCTTAAGAGTTTCTTCTTATTTTGAAATGCAGCCACTGCTTCCTCAGCGTCTATGAACGTTTTCCTCGAAGTTTTTTTATTTTCGAAAATAAACAAAAATCGCAAGGAGCGAGGTCGGTGCTATAGGGCTTGTGACCCAGTAATTCCACGTCTGACGTCGCCAAGTAGTCGATTGTTTGCTTGGCCGTGTGCGACGAGGCGTTATCGAGATGAAGGACGATCCTACTGTGAGGTCGATTCTTACGAACTTTTTCCAAAACAAGTTGAAATCAATTGTTAGTGTACCACTCTGCACTCTGCAAAAACAGTTATTTTCGATCGTCTAAAACAATTGTTGTGTAATGACCTGTCCTTCCGAAGAACGAGGTGACCATATTTTTTTCCACGCTTCTACTTCTCTTTACTTTAGTTGGCAACTACTCGGAAGGAAACACCCAGACAGCAGACTGTCTCTTAGTATTCGGATTATAACTATAAATCTAGCTTTCGTCATCCATAGGTGTGTCGAACACAGCATTTGTGTCACCTCCGTTAAATCTTTGAACCATTTCACGACACCAATTAACACGACGGAGTTTTTGGACCTCTATCAAATTATGAGGTACCGCTAAATGTTCATGAAGGATTTTGTGCACTTGACTCATACCGATGCCTAAGCTTGTCTGAATCTGCTGATAAGTCACTATTTTATCAGCCTCTATCATACGCTGCACAACACTGATGTATCTTCAGTCGTCGCCGTAGAAGGCCGCCCCCCACACATATCATGGGTGAGGTTAGTTCGATTCATTGTACGAAAATTTTCTCGCGTTAAATTTATGCTGACGTGACAAGGACAATTTTCAATTTGCCACCAAATCGTAAATAAATGACAGTTTAATAAAATACGTTCACAATAATATTGGCAAAAAACTCCATTTTCAAAATTTGAACTTATTTTTTTATTACATCGTTTACAAGTGGCCAGTTCAAAAAACCCTCAGTGTCGCCCTCGTACCGTCGATGGAGTAGCGTGAAAGTTTGTATAGATAAAACGGAATCGGGGGAAACTGTGCCGATAATCGTAACGTATTTTGCTTTTCGATTATTGGCGTTACTATACATGGCAAAAAAGTGGTATTACAATCGATTTTTATAAAATAATGCCAATCTCTTAAAAACGTCTTTAGTTCCTTTAGCAAATTTACAGAGAATAAGCCTCTCTTTTTACCAGGTCCCGCGATTTTTCCGCCTTCTGTGTTTTTTCTGTCTCTTGTTTTTTATCAACAATAATACAACAATACCTAATGCACAGATGACGCATACCACGCATGCACACACTCATGCACGATACTATCGCGGCACGAAATGAATAAACTTGAATGTATGTGGGCACTGTTTTATCGCATAGATAAAACTAAAGGTTTATACACAACAGTCTTTAATTTATCGCAGAACCTCAAAAATTGTTTACTGTGGTAATAAAGTATTATAGACCGAGAACCGAAAGATGCGTTGTTATGTATGAGGACTAAGAACCGACTGTCTCACATCCAATGATTTTACTGGCTCTCTATATCTTTATTTGACGACACCTATCCAGATGGGTTTCAAAGAAGAAAATTAGTACTACTACTAGAAATATAACACTACCACTAGAAATTCACACACCAGAAAATGCTGTATTTAATTTATCTACAAAACGAGCATTGTAACTGTCATACACCTGGGAAAAAGCGAAGAATTTGGTAAATTTAATTATTAAATGTATAATTTGAATTTTAATCATAATAAAATACATGCATTGCGTTATCATGACTTACTATATGTACACAAACACTGCACATTGAATGAAATTACTTTCACGGATATGATCTGTAAAATAAGTTCTATTCAATATTACTAGATCATTCACATCGTTGCCGACTATTATTTAAACATAAATTAGGCAGATTGAATAAACGCTATGCAAAAGATGAAAATTGATAAGGACAGTCTAATCAAAAGCCTTCCACGACGCCCGGTATTATTATATTTACTCCGTTAGCTTTGTTACAAAGTATCCTTATGATATATAATAACCAAGACATAGATCGCTCATAGTTAATTAAGGGAAATCCAAATCAAAACATATTGAAGTGTATTGTTGGCAGAATGGTGTTTATAATTTTCTTCACTTTATTCAACACATCCTAAAAGTTATATGCTAAGTAGCAGGCGGTTTGACAACCACAGTTTCTTCTTATTATGAGTTGTCATCAGAAGGGTGCTGCTGACAATCTCCTTTTTAATTTCTAATGTATCTTTGCATTTGATATAATTTTTACATGGATTCTTTACCTGCAAGGTACTCGTTTTGAAATTAATCAGCTAAGATATAAAAAATTAATCAGCTAAGATTCGCGTGAAAAATAATAATGAGGTTTCTTACCTGGTTTGAAAAGTACCTTAGCCTTCTCTAAATTACATTGCCTTGTGTGCATTATCCTTGTTAATACTTATCCAAACATTACTACTCACAACACTGCTACTGTAGGTAAGAAACACCATCGTCAATATCAGTGTTTCGTCTTTAAACTGGGCATTATCTGGAGAACTAAACTCGGCAATAGTTAACTCTACTTGTACTCGTTTCAGTAGATTTGTTATCATCTTTATGGTTTTTATTTATCAATGGTTATGTTTCTTTTTTCTGCAATTTATTTGGCCATAATAATAATAACGGTACAAAACCGTTACAACTTCAACTTCACCTTAACAATTTCGACCTTATTCTAATGTTGTCAATATTGTCGCAATCTGTGAAAAAGATTTTTTTAATCATTTCTTTACTGTGACAATCGGTCAATAGGTGGAGGAAAAGCTCATGAAGAAAGCTTCACTAATGTCTAAAAAATAAAATATTTTGAGGGCACGAGAAATATACTAACTGCTCTACAACCTTTTTAGAAACGAGAAAAAATCTATTTCTTTCTTTCTTAAATTCTATTATAAAATATAATATAATAAAATATATCACGCCTAGAATTACAATTTGAGAGTAATATGCAAAATTTTAAAGTTTCTATATTAAGCAAGCTGTATTTCACATCTGACTACACTTATTGTGTAACTAACTAACAAT